TTTTTTTTTTTCTGCGTGGAAATCAACTGTTTTTTATTACCGTTATGTGTTGAGAGAGTTAAAATTGTTCACGAATTTCAACAGATAAGCACCTTCATCCAAAACTGAGAAACTGGAACCTTCGAGCTGAGTTTTTGAAAAGTTTACGAGATCGTCATCAGCTAATTTGCTTGATGAATCGTTTATAGGTTCAAATGTTATGTCTGAATTTTTAACTGAATTTTCATTCTTCTGTTGGCGGTTATTTTTACTGAAGATGAACCATCCGTTTATTTGCCTATTTTTGAGCGAAACATTTGTTCCTTTGTATTTTCCTTGGTCTTTGAAAAGATGGAAGGCAGCTTATCTACCTGTTGTTAATATTGTTACAGTACAAGGCGACGGATTTTGTTGTGCCTGGTGCTGGCAAAGTAGTGATCAAATTTGTACCAGACGAACCTGATCAACAGCCAATTGAGCATGTTGGTAACTCTTTCATTTTTGTACTGATTTGAAACTCCCTTTTTGCGCAGTCTTTACACGCTTTTCATAAGCATCTCGTTAGATTTCGATTAAAGGTAGAAACTTGGGATGTATAATTTAGCCTTGAGTTTTGAACTGAGCTAAACGTATGCTACTGGTTCAGCAGATAAGGATTTCCAACGATTGCCATCAATGAGTTTTGTAGACGCCCCTCTACATGCGATAAGAAATTGAATTCGAAAATGAATTGCTAAGCTCTTCTGCCTTCTATCGCGGTGCATTCGGAAGTCAAGTGGCGCGAAAACTGCCGCACATTCTGTAAAACTAAAACTTTTTCACTTACTGCTCCTGCTTACATGTTATTCTGCACGGAAAGTAACCCAAAGACAGAAGTACAGATTTTTTGCAAGAAACACATTTCCCGTTTACTTAGAGAAACGATGCATCCTTTAGGAAGTGTTTCATTTTTCTGGTGCAGGAGTGTCATTATCAATGTATAACACTGATAAAAGTATTGCCGATTTTGCTCATGCATCGTTCCAGCAGGCACTGCAGAGGGAATATCCGTTGTATCTAAGGCAAGTTGCTTCCCTCTGTTCAACATAATCTTGGCAGTTTCAGTGCTACATTTTTCTTTTTCAATATTGCATTTTGTCTTTCTGCTTGCCATCCTATCGAATTAAAATGTTCTCGAATTCACAAACGTTACCGTGAATGCTTCCAACGTTCTCCTGCTCCATTTACCGTCTCTGTGCATGTGCTTATAACTCCAGATTAGCATAAAGTGTGTTCGCACTTTCGTCATTGCCCTCATAAAATTGCCTGAGCAGAAGACCGTCGTTTAGTAATTGCCACACTTACGAAATATTGGTCAAGAATAACAGAGTTCATGCCTTAATGCTTTCTAGCAGACGAGAAGCTTGTTTTTTTGTTTAGGTAGAAAGAATAAAAGTCAATTTAATTGTTTACAACAACAGAGCCAACTAACAGAAGCAGTATTAGAGTTGCTGAAAGATTTCACACCTGGTGTATAAATCTATTTTAATTATATCGAGGACTTCTGTAAATTTATATTATTGTTCTTAGAGATGAAACACCTTCGAAGTCTAAACGCATTTAGTTTTACAAAGCCAACAGGGGTCTAAACAAGCGTTCAGCACTACGATCAGGATTAATGTTTGCCTCTTTCTGCATGCCATACGGACTCTGCTGGGTATCGTTTTGGAGTGCCGATGCCACTGCCTATCCAGTCCTTTATTTCCAGTACCAAGAGCACAATATTAAAACAATACGACGGGCGTTTTCGCGATATATTTGAGCACATCTATGCAACAGTCTATATGGATCAGTTCAATGCGAAGAAAATTTGGTATGCCTATGGTTTTCACCAAGAAGAAATTGCATTTGCTTTTTATAATTAATTTTACTTAAATTTCAATCACGCCGGTAATACTGTTTCGAAGTAGCTAACATGAGTTTCTTACTTCGATACTCTTCGTGGTGTAGGAGTGCCAACGGACTAGGCCAGTGTCAACAAACAACAGCATCTCGAAACATGTCGAGAAGGCACTGTGCTGCATTTTATCGAGTTACAAAGACAGCAGTGAAGCCAAGGATGCTTGCAGTGTTTCATCGTGACAATGTAAGCACTCAGATTTCCCGTCAAATGTACGGCATGCAAGATGTCATTTTTTTTTTGCTCTTATTGTCGACAATCAATGGATATCATAAATTAGTGAGTGACACTCAAGAAAACGAAACTAGGCTGGGACGCACTAGGCCTACCGGTGCGATCATGCGTTTTTGCACTAAACTCGCAGATCGCTAATAGCAGAAATGACCCCTGGCTGTAGTCCAACACTTGAGCTCGTACTGGCCGTGCTTTGGCTTCTTCTGGCATGTAGAGGAAAGGGCGTTCTGTAGGTACATGGCTATCAGTTTTTATGCGTTTTTGCCTATATGCAAATTGCAAAAACGCATATTGGGACGACCCTGTCT